CACTCATACACACCCAGCATGATTGCACAAGTTTCATTTCCTTAGGAAAGCGGATTGAAAACAACAGGCAAGAACAAAGAACTCAATATTGTACCTATGTTAAAATGCATATGCTACCTATGCATATTCTAGCAAGTGAACAAATTGAATGTGTAGTTTCTCCAGTGAATTCTGCAAGAGAAAAGCTGCATGATTCGAAGCAGCACTGCTTACTGCACTTAAACACAGGAAATCTTGTCTCTGCTGTTTGCTATTAGTCTATTGTGTAATTTTGGTCAAATTCTGCTATCCCATTTCCCCTTTTGCCTCTTTAGAAAAAAATCTGTCAGGCAGGAACAAGCACTTTCCACATGTCTTTACAGCTCCTAGCACATTGGTCCTCACGAACGCCTCTGAAAACCCATTTGAATACATTGTGCAGCACTAGCTGATTATTCAGAACAAAAGCAATATTTAAGGACCAGAACCTTCCTGAAGATCTGAAGAGATTTGTGGACTGTTATCAACTCTGTGGACTATTTCAGTTTGGATCTTTTTTTGTGGTTGTTGAAAAATATATGTCTACATGAAAAATGAATGCAAATTATTAGTTTCTTATTAGTTTCTTATACTCTGAAACACTCATTCTTTAACTGAAAATGTGCGGATCGTAAGAGTGAATTATGGTCTTATTTATCAGTTCTCTTTCTGCTAAACTGAGAATGAAAATTACATTGACAAATTCTGTATAGTATTGATGTTGCCAGTGCTGCAGTATCAGCAGTACAGGTTTTTAAATGAGTTTTAAAGACTTTTAAAAAGCCTGGCTTACTCTATACCTCACTGTAAGCAAACCAAGGGACCTACGTACGATAAGGCACTAAGCACACACTACACACTAACCTCAATAAAATCAAAAGACATGACAGGTTTTCGCTCACACTGCCTCTCTGAGATGCTATTTATCTCTATTTTTCTTCCAGTACAGGCTAAACTAATGGATTTGTGTCTTGAGTTCGAACAGTTATGAGAAGGGTTCTGAGTGGTTTAAAAGTGCCTGGCTTAACCATAAGGGAAGGGTTCTGCTCTTGTGTGAAGAGTATGTGCTCTGCTTGGGACCAAGAAAACAGTGATCCCCCACAAGGGGAGACATATAAAATACACCGCAAAGATAGTTGCTGTAGCTTACATATGACATTTGTAACCATACAATTGTATGTGGTGTAAAGAAGACTCCTTTCCAGATTGTGTACAGAGTAAGATAGATCCCTGATCTATATGTTTTTGCAATAAATCCTGTCCATTGAGCTAAATAAAGTTGCTACATAAAACCTGCAGACAATAAATGATTTGACAAAAGGGAAAATGTCACCGATTTGAAAAGACTAGCACAAAGATTTATCCTTTCTTCTTGGCATTTATGAGCAAACTGTACCAAATTTCACACACTTATAAAATCCACTTTGTAGCTTAGTGATTCTGCTCTACATTAAACATTCATTATTAGACTTACTATATCTCTTCAAATGACTCATGCACGTATATGTAGAATTTCAATAACATCCTGGTTGCTAGGGTACATCCTAGTTGCTAGGTCACTCTGACATACGAAGTATATGTTAGAAATAGATTTTAAGTATTCACGGGCCAGATCGGTGTGCTTTTTTCGTTTAATAATAGCTTCTGTAAGTAGCTAATTATGCAAAGCAGCATGACAGTTTAAGTCATTATGCATAATTCCCAATTGAGAAATATGACTTTTTTCTTCCATTTTAGTAAATAACTTTTTGTTTCTGCTAGATGTATGTGATATAATATTTTCCTAGCTGATTTTCCTTGACTTACTTTTTTTCCTCCCTGGCCCACTCTGTCATTGTTGTTGCTTTCCTACAAAAGATTTTTAACTTTATTTCTAAGGACCAATATAAAAGGTTTAGCCCAAATATACATTTTTATATATATTTTTAACATATGCATCAATTTCTTCCTCTCAGGGCTGCTGCCTTGTGTATACATGTGTTTGTCGCTACATGAAATGCTTTCCTTCAGAAACTCAGGAGGTGTCTATGAATGGTCTCATAGTCCAGGCTTCTCCAAAAGAGATGCACCTGGATCATATGATACAATCTACACTTCAAAGCCAGAGCTATGTCTGCCACAGTTCTACTTAATTTTTATTTTTGTGCCTTCCAAAATATATTAAAAGGACCCTAAATCTGCAAAGTGACAGGGCCAGCATTCATGCTGCCTATATAACTAGAGTTGACTGATTTTTATTTTTTTGGTTTCTGTTGTAGAATCTAGACAATCAAAAAAATATTAATTTTATGTCGATCCAAAATACTTTTTTTTTAGTTTAGATTTACTAAAATACTTCTTTTGATTATTGGTCTTTAAGAATTTTAGTCATTTATCTCATTTGACATCAATTATTTAAATCAAGCTCAGCAATGAAACAAAACATGATATTTCAAAATGAAGTGTCAAAAATACTTAATCACTTATAAAATGAAATATTTTGTTTTAAAGATGGGAAAAGGGCAATATTTAATACCTCTTGCCTCTTATCCAGAATTACATACCAGATTCAACTGGTGTTTGCAAGCAGTTTTAGTATAATAGAACAAGATATTTTTGATTATTTAAAAAAAAATCTGGAGATCTATTAAATCCTTACTTTATCCTGCCAGGTACATATGCATCATTAGACAGTCTCTACCTAAGTTATAATATTTAGAGTATTCCTCCTGGAGGACTTCTGCCTGATGCCCGTGTGTTCAGGGCACGTGTGGCCGTTCGTGCTCACCAGTTAGCGAAAGCGCCGCAGCGCGAGGGAGGAAGCCGGCTAAAGGGAAGGGAGCACGTGACGTTGAAAGGGAAAGTGCTGCGTTATGAGGGTGTTAGTGGAGCTCTTCAAATATTAGTCTTTAAGAAAATTTTAATTAGAATTTTCCCTAATAAGATTAGTGTGAGGATACAAGAGTGTGGTAATTGAACCAGTCAATAGCAAAACTCGGTTGGGTTGTCAACACAGAAGACAACTGAAATGTCCAGGAAGAGCTTGATGACTGTGAGGGCTGGAATAATATATAAGGGATGAAATGTATTTGTATGAAGTGCAGTTACCCTTCAGGACTAATACTGGGAATTTCTGTTAAGCTGCGAGCTCACTGATCAGAAACAGCTGTAGTGGAGACAACTGTATGAGTTGGCTGTTCACAGAATAGTTATGAATCACCAGTGTGGTACGGACATGGAAAAGGCAAATGCACTAGATGACACTGGTTACAGTAGTGCTGAAAAGCATTTGTGTCATTATATGTGAAGGAGATGTCTACATTTACAACAGTGAGATGAATTCAAACACAAATACTAAAAATTATTATGGCATGTGATGCTCCATTCCCCTGCTGTATTCCTATCTATCATAAAATACTTGTCCATTCAGCAAAATATGTGAAATTTCATGCTGAATGAAGATATTAGCACAAGAACAGATATAAACTGGTTATGAATAAATTCAGACTTAACATTCTGGTAAAAATTGTCCGTGAAATCCAGAGATCCCTTACTGTGGACAAGCAATCTAATAAGATTTAAAAGAAATATTGAAGAATTAGGAAAAGGATTAGACTGTGTGGTTGGCTGCAATTACAGGAGATCAGACTTAGTGATCTGTTATGTAATTTAGGTCTCCTTTTTTTTGCTGCTATGAACAGTTTTTTATTTTCTGCAGCGTGTTGCACCATGTATTATATACAGTTTCTTGCAGTCTGCAACAAATACAGAATTACAGATTCCATTGTTATTACTTAATTCATTTTAGTAAAGATAGATCAACATATAAATGCTGTATATATGGAATAACTATCTTAAGCTGCAGCAAAAAGACTCTACTTATCTCACGTTTCACCTGTGCTGTTGTCCCTAACTAGTAGAAATGTGCATCCAAGCCATGCTTTAGCTCAGATGGCTGTTGGAGCTGAAAAACCACTGATGAGCAGCTTATGCAAAAGACTTAGCTGGACAGCATGACCGAACTTGCATCACCCCTTAGCAGCTCTGCCTCTCCCCTTGTTGTCCCACTCCGTTTTGTGGTGGAGGTTGCCCTCCAGTTCTGCAATTCTACGCGTTCCATTCTACACAATTCCATTCTACGCAGCTTTGCCAGCAGTGCCAAATTGAGACATTTTTGTCTTGCCCAGCCCTGGCCATTCATCCTTTACTGTTCACGTCCCATCCCTTGAACCCATAGATGTGGCTTTGGGCCCATGCTATGAACTGGGGCTCTCAGCTTGTCTGACTTATTTGTGCATGTTTTGTTTGTCTCTGACCTTAATCAGTTAAGACATCTAGTTCACAGAATGACTCACACGCTGTTGCACCAGCTTCACCTAGGGGCACAGATGCTGACACACAAGCCCAGGAATAGGCAGCCCTCGAGCTGCCGTTATCACAGAGCAGGGATTTCTGGACACTAAAGGTGTGACCGCTACTTGTGTACGTGAAAGAGTTGGACCTTGAACTGATGTTTGGTGAAAGCAGCTCTAGTCATTACCAAATTATCAGCGGAAACAAGTTTTAATCAGTGCAGGCAAATCCACACCTTCAGCCATGAATTTAATAAGGCATACACATTTTCTGCTGGTACTGTGGGTAGATTGGTCCTTTTGCTTAATCTTCTTAGTCTACAAAAGTCTAGGAAGTCATTTAACACAAGCACTGCAGTGTATATCCTTTAATTTTATTCTCAAAACTGTTTCCACTAGGGTAGCTGAACTTTACAGAAATATACAACCAGAGGCAAATAGTGCCACTGCAAAGAAGTTGAAGTTTCTATTTACACACAAGAAAAAATAAGATCCTATGGAGAATTATAAGCATTAAACCAAAATACTGCACTAAAAAAAAAATCCGAGTATTGTTTTTAAGCTGTAGTTATACTCTATTATTAAATGCTCTGCTTTGATTTTTGACATAGCCTGTATAAGCCCTATTTGAAACTGTGATATGATATGTACTTTGAAAGGGTGCTGCGGGGAAATCTTAGTGCCTGGCAGGTGGTGATTTTGTAAAACCTGACAACAAAGGGAGCATTAATCTCACCGTCAGATAGCAGTTTCTTTGCTGGCTTTCTTTCTCGGTCATGTGCAAGCAGTTTCTATTTAGTCAGAATTCCTAAACAGTCAAACTTGAATTTCTCTCACACTGTATTCACAAGGTACTACAAGTTGCTCAGGTGCATTTGAGAAGTATTTTCTCCTAGATGTTTAATGAATTCCTGGGTTTAAGCCACAATTTGTATGTTGATGATCTTTATGTTGTAGTGGTCTGTTCAGCTTACCTAGCATTTTTTTAACCAAGGGGACATTCTTCTTTTTCCACCATTTATTTCAAAGAGAAGTTTAAAACATATATTTTAAACTTGAAACATTAGCAGATGGGTTAATTACAGCAGTAGATAAAGCCAGCACAGCGGTGATCTTTTTTTCATATGCTTCCCATAGGTATCATGTAAGACTTATGTGTCCACGTTTGGCTCTACCTAGTGTGAGCAAGAAGTTGAATAGTCCTTTAAGGCATTGATTGGCCTAATGTGAAATGGCTGTAAAATACAAGGTATGATTTTAAGTCTAGATGTAAACTCTCTCAAAGAGTGATGTTGTTCGAAATCTGAAGTAATTTTCTGATGTGCATCCTTAATTTTAGAAATGCTTTCTCTAGGAAATAGGCAAAGAAAATGTTACACGTGCTTTTAAATGAAAGCAGTGTTATTTGATTGTTTCTCTTTTGCTTGTGTATTTCATATGTTATAGAGACTTGTGTCATAGTATTAGGTCTTGACATATTGAAAACCACACCAGTTTACATGAACTAGAGAGACACTGTTAAGATACTCATCCAGTATTTCTGTATAATAATACAGAATGTGGCATGCAATATTCTCTTAACTGAAATAATTTGAGAGTAATGCAAAGGGTAAACAGCGTGGTAAGTTTCAATAGAGTGTAAAGGTCCATTAAGCATACAATTTCTGTAGGCTCTTTTGAAACTCCAGCTAAAAAGAAGGTCTAATCATGCATATGATGTGTTATGTGTAGCATAGCATCATCTGTTGGTGTTTGATTTGGTTCTTAATCTTCCGTACTTTGAATTTGATGTGTTAAAAAATAGTTAACATGTAGCTACAATTAATTGTATTAACTGCTAGAAAAAAAAAGATTTTTTAAAATTTAGGTTTTTTTAAAAAAATGTAATATATAGTGCTCCATGTTTAATTTTGTATCATAGAGTATCAGCTTCAGCTGGAAGATCTCATCTTCATCTTGCGAAAAAGGCAAGGAACAAGGTTCAATGGAAATATATAGAAATCAGAAATCAGAACATTGTTGGCTTTTCCACACTGAGCAAAATTGACCAAACTCTGTTAGACTTGGAAAAAAAGTCTAGGGGCCAGAAAGTTGGACATACCAACACCACTGTCTATAAGGTCAAGAGCTTCTCAGTCAAGGTTGAGTTCAAGAAAACGAAGAAGCCAGAGAGACTCAGTGCTTTTTATTTGCTCTGAAATCATGTTTTCCTGGGAAAACACCCGTCTGAATCATTACATTTTTACTCATATTTCAAGAGAATTTTCTCTTTGTATTGCCTTATCCTAAGTCTATGGTGCATCTGCCTGGAGCAATCTTATGTCAACATTGTTTTCAAAACTTGATTGATTCATATGTGAAATAATTTAGCCTTCTCCCTCTTGTGTAAAACAAAAAATAGAAGCAGCATTTTCTGTCACCACTTACACTAAGTGTCTCAACATGTGCTACAGTAGGGTGATGCTGTTTTCCCCTTTTCTTAACCATCACTGAAGAGAGATGAGGAAAGGAAGTAGGTACTAAGGAAAGGCAGTAAGGCTGAGGTGATTTTGCCATTTTAACTCCAGTTTTCCAACTGAAGACTTGTGCAGGGAACCTGCACAGACATTCTTAAGTCCTTTGCTGAGAGATGATGTGCTGTTACATCCAGAACCCACAGATTTATCCAGGCAGTATATGGACAGCTTTGCACCCCTTGAGAACTTGGAAAGTGAAAGATTTGCAGGGAATATTTCCAGTGGTGTCCCTCATTAGTCAGGCATTTGGAATGTGTGCTGCTCAGTGTGTAGTGCTGTCACACACGAGGCAGTAGATGAATCTGGAAAGCCCAAAAACCTAAGGAATACCTGTTAGTAAATGTGAGGGAAAATCAGTTTTGGGGGGATACGTTTGCTAGACTAGCTAACTAAAAAAGGTAAGCATCGTTACATGAATTCAGAGTCTACAGACAGAGTCTAAAACAGAAGCTCAGCAGAAGCTTCAGTTAGCCTTGGGGCAATGCATGAGCAGCCAAGAGATGCTTGAACAAAACTTTCCAAGCTGATGCACATGAGGAATGGCGCACTGCATTACCAGAGTATGATAACTTAAAAAGCAAGGCAAACTTCCTTCTTGGTTAAATGTTTGCACAGTAAGAATGCTCATACTGTAATTTGTCTGGATTTTTGTATTTCACATTTTTCTTTCTGAACTGAAGAAGTTTCTGAGAGCAGTCTTTTATACTCTGATGACACTGGGTGACTTTGTGTAATATATAACATGAAAAAGTAATAGGATGTGTATCCATATTTTAGAAAGTGTATCAGCTCCTCTCTTCTTGCCATCATAGTGCAAAGATAATTGGGAGCAGCTCAGTCCACGTTCGAATACACGTTTTTGTGCTAGAGTTATAGCTTCCAAACACGTAGATGGTTGATTTTTTTATGTTACCTCTCAAAGGAAGTGTCTGTTTTTTTTTGTACAGTTAGCTCCACTGTAAAGAGGTCCTGAGAAGAAAACAAAAATACTTGGTTAACTTTCTGGCTTGTGGTTCTGCAGAAGGGGGATAGTTAGGGAGAAGAGAAGGTTTGCACTTAGTCATAAGTGGTGCTGGAGGCAACTAAAATCGTTAGTATAGATGGTCTATATGTGGGATTCCATTACCAGAAGAAACACGGAGATTCAAAAGCTGATAGTAGTTTCAGAGAAATGTTGCTGAGTGGAAATTCCATTCACTCCTGAGGCCCCAGAGGCACATTTCCCATTAGGGGACAAGAAAGAGGAAATTCCTGTGCAGAGACAACACCCATTATCAAGTGACACAACTACGTGCAGATTTGAATGACATTCCGGGTCATAAAAGTGAAATTTGTTTTCCTTTCTCTCATTCATTATCTTACAATTTTTAGCTACATTTATAGCTAAAACTATAGTATTTTTTAGTAAACTTTGACACAAAATGCCACTTCAGAGGCATATAAACAAGGATTGCATAAACATTTATCTACTTCCAAGGAAATCAATTGATTTAGTTTCTAACTAACTTTAAAAATGAATTAGAAATAGAATTAGATGGCTCATCTTTTACTGTATCTGTTATCTCAAAGGTTTTACTTCGTACAATTTTAATGTTTGTTTCTTCTGTTTCCACTGATGTTTAAAGCATAACAGTATTGGTAAGAAGCACCGAACTAACCTGTGTCTGACAAACTTGATATAATGTAATTTTCAGCAAAGAATACCTCGAAGTTGAAACCTAGCCTATAAATTCTCTTGCTCCTCTCATTCTCCTTATTTATCCTTGGATGGCTGAGAATATAAAGATATTACCTTCACAGAATCACAGAAGCAGAGAATACAGGCGCTCCAGAGATCATCTGGTCCAACCTCTCTGCTCAAGCAAGGTCACTAGAGCAGGTTGCCCAGGGCCATGAAGAGTCGGGATTTGAATATCTCCAGAGCTAGAGAGTCCACAGTCCCTCTGGGCTACCTGTCCCTGTGTTCCACCACCCTCCCTGTGAAGAACTGCTTTCTTATGCTAATTCCTGTGTTTAAATTTGGGCCCATCATCTTTACATCCTCCCATTAGATAGGTATGCACATGGATAAGACCACCCCCCGCTGCCGCGTCTTCTCCAACCTAAACAACCCTGCCCTCAGACTCTTCTTGGATAAGAGATGCTGTGATCCTTTAGTCATCTTTATGGGCCTAAATTCCTTATTTCTCCTTTCCTTTATCTCTTATAAAATCTGACATGGAATTAATGAATAAGTTTTCTATATAAATGCTTCTTTCTCCCCAACACTGCAACCCCAAACAAAGAAGTGGAATTTGGAAACATTGGATTAGAAATTACTTTCTGAGTCATTCAGTCTAGTTCCCTTTTATAAGCAACCATGCAATGGCCTTCATAAAGTTGTAATGTGCCATCCTAAAGCCAGTGAGGTTATTTGCCTCATTCCTCCAGCTGTAAGGCTGTTTTTAAACCTTAGTTTCTTGATGGTTATAAACTTCTAATTTACAACCTAAATGCACATAATGCATATTAGGCACATAATGCCTAATAGGCACATGTCCCTACCAGTTTCCTATCATTAGCCTTAAATAAAAAACGTCTTTCTTCGCATCCTGATTTTTTCTCTGACTGATGTGTATATGTTCTTTTTTTATATATAAATAAGCAAAATTCTTTAGTTTCCTCTTGCATTACATGCTCTTTGTTCCTCTAATAGTTGCAGGGGCTCTTTGGGTTGTTCTGTCATCAAACTATAAACAGTCGTCTGGGGTAACAAGATTCGGAGGACAGCAATTCTGCCAGGATTGGAAGAGAAGCCAGCAGTTTGTAATCTGACTGACAAAAGGCAAAAGATTTGCAGCAGTTTTGCTGCCATGATTAGTTCCAAAGAAGGGTGCATTTCTATAAGACCAGCATACGTTATTTGTAATGCTTTGAACTTTTAGAAGGAAAGTTGATATACAGAAAGTATGGGGAAATTTGCTTACTACAGTGAAACCTGTATCATAATATTTGCAATAGAAATTAATGAAGATCCCAACTGATCTCTGCTTATTGTAAAATATGCAGATTTAAGTCACTTTACTGAGAACCTCACCTTAGAGTTATATTTTTCTGGGTCAATAAAGACTACATTGAACATCTCCTGGCTGGTATAAACCAACTTTCCTGACTTTACTAATATCAGATAATATGTTGTTTCAAAAAGTTTTCTTGTAACTTATATAAAATCATGGCTGTACAATATTCAAGTCCACTGTTATTTTGGCGAGTTTTTATGAATCTTGTTTACCTTGAAGTTAAGGGCTGGCAGAGCACCAGCACTGACTTGAGGCCCCGGCACTCAGCACGATGCCTGGGTGTTACAGTAAGAGACTTTTAGTGTGGATGGTTGTAGGTCTGGGCGTACGGGCATCTGATGTTTGAGGATGAAGCTAGCATCAACCTCACGCTGAACACAATATCGCCTAGCTACTTTTAGCAAGTCAGTACCCAGGGCAGGGAAACACAGCCTGATCTTACAGTCTGTGCTATTTTTATTAATTAGTCCTCCTCATTCTAATTATGAAAGAAATTCAGTTTAATTTGTGCCTTAAATATACTGAATGTTTGACTTTGAAAAACGAATAAGGAGTCATCATCACCAATTAATAAATAGATAATAAGTAGCAATTAATATATTTCAATTACAAATAAATAAATCTATAATTACCAGAAGTTACCTGTTGATCTCTTCATGCTGTTCTTTTCAGTATCAGTCAGGTAAAAGACATTATCCTGGCACCACAAGTTTGAATCTTGGTAACTGACTTGGAGAGAATGGGAAATATTTTAATTTTTCAAGTAAGCAGCAGGTGGAAAGCGACTCGGTAGAGATGACAGTTGACTGAAAAAGCAGCTGCCTACTCTGTACCCAAATACATGCTCTTTGGAGCAGCTGAAACTGCAGATGTTGACAAAAAAGGACGGAGCTTGCTTTGCTTCGTGCTGTCTCGTGCCGTAGAGCGGTGTTAGCAGCACACAGCAACGTGAACATCTCCGTTGCAGGGTGTGCAAATGGTTTACGGGCTGTGCTGCATCAGATACGCTCCAACTCGGCAACAGCGAAGAGCGGAGAAGCTCTCAGATCGTAGCTTTTGTTCTGCAATTAGCTTATGGTTTTTCAAGCAGGAAATCAGCTTCAGGGGTGGTGGTTTTTCTGCAGCTAACATAACTAACATAGGAATTGTTTGATCTTTGCGGGTTTTAAAACTGTTTTTTTTTTAAAAAAATGTTATTTTTGTGCACAGTCAATGGAGAGAGTTCAGTATCTCTAGCTGCATGAAAATATCTCATAAAGTTATAAGTAAATGTATATAAAAATTAATGAAACAATAATTTCTTCAAACAATTTCTTCTAACAATTATTCTTTCTCTTCGTTTAGCCATCCTGAGAATTTATGTATTTATGAAAGATTGAAACCAAATGAGAGAACTGATGTGCTTGTGCAGTAATACACAAATAACTTTGTTTCCTCTAAATTGTGAGCAGTTGTACTTGTTTGAGGATTACAGGATTCAGGCCATTTAAAGAAGTATGTGACTGGCATGGGGCAAACTGCTTAATCTGAAAAGGGGAAGAGCAGTCCTGCAGCTATGGCACTGGAACTGACAGACTCTGCTCTTCTATTCCGGGCGCTGGAAACATTTCCTCTGTTGGTATGCAATTCAGGCTGTTCGAAATTCCTCTTTTTGGCTTTTCATTTCCATCCAAAACAGGTGAAAATACCACAGTCTTGAAGTGCAGCATTTATTTATCTTAATGTATTCCTTTCTCTTTTATTTTTGAAGGAATAGAGGATTATAAACATTTACTTCATAGAATTCAGTACTCATAAGAGATTGTGGCAATTTAAGAGTCAATTAAAATTGGATGAGGTGTGGGAGGCTAGAATGACATGTAGTGTTTTCACCTTGACAACCCTTCACTGGAGGTGGCACAGTAAAAAATCTTGACATATCTTGACGCCAGCATGAATGTCTTCAAGTGGAAGGCAGGTAATTTTTTTCAGATGCAGTAAGAATCTAAAATGAAGGATAGTCGTGAGGCACAAAACCAGAAGAACCTTAGCCTTTCCTAGAAGAGTGCTAATCTTACATGTATTTTTAGGAGCAAAAATAAGTAGCTAAAAATAAAATGAAATTAAAAATAATATATAAATAACATGTATGTATTTGTATGCATTTTGTGAGAATAAAGCTGTGGAAAAGGAACTAATGAGGTGATTCTGAAAAATGGAGGTATTTGGACATATGGATAAAAAACAAGCACTGAATTCCATGGATCACAAGCAATAGAGGAAATTTAAATATACAGTAATAGGCTCTTATTTGCCTCTGTTAGTTCTGTCCACTCTTCTCTACTTCTGCCTTGCTGCCTTCTTTTAGGCTATCATTCTGAATGTATTTAGTCCCTTTCAATTATCTTTCAAGTTTTGATCTAAAATAATTGAAAATAATAGATGAGAAGACATTTAGTTCCAGTCCTACAAAATACACGTTCTGCTGCCTGGAATTTTAAGTTAATCATTTCAGTAAGACGGCTGGCAACACTGACAATAAATATGGTCAGTTCTCTGTTAGGAGGAATCATGAGGAATGACATAATGCAACTAAAACATACATAGTACAATATTTAGTAATATAGCTCATCTATAACAAAGACAAGATTAATCACTAGGCACTTAGCTGTGAAATGCAGATGTTTCCAAAGCCTGTAGCGAAGCCCGCCACACATTTGTGTATTAGCTAGGGTCTGCATAGCTAGTAGTGCGGTACTGCTTTCCAGTGACCTTGTGCCCAGCTGGGGACATGTGGCCATGCCAGGCAGGCCCACGCCAAGCTCTGCACAGCTCCCGCGCCGCTCTGCGTTCGCCACCTACTCAGTGTGCAGAAGCGGTAAGATCCACCCACAGATAACAGAAAGGTGCTTAGATTTGCAAGAGATTTCAGAATTGTGGCTTCACTCGATAGGTAACAGAGATATTTCTAATCACATTCGTATAACCCCTATCACAGTGCCATTTGTAAAAGTAACTGTAGTGAAAATATGTAATAACTGTGATCTTTTTACTGCCACCTAAATAACATTATGTTTTCTATTATTATTATTGTATTTTTATATTTATATTTACATTTATGTTTATATTTAATTGTTATGCAGTAGATAACAGAGTTCCTGTGCCATACGCTGTGCTTTTTCCTAACAGTTCGTTTTTCACCCTGCCGCAGTTTGTCAATATTCAGATCAGTATTCATGTGTCACTATTCATATGTCAGTATTCATATGTCAGTATTCATGCCTGCAGTTTGTCAGTATTCAGATCCACTATTGAGATCCAAGCAGGGATGATATGTTAAACTGTGATCTTTAAACCAGCTCCATTGGCTAAATAGAGGAACTAGAGGTTCTGTGTTTTTTGTCCCCATCATAGTCATTAACCAAGTATATTTGTAAAACAGTATATTTATGAAAAGTATATTTGTGGAAGTATATTTGGTGTTGAATTGTTTCAGTAATGCTCTGTGGGGTAGGCCCCCTTTACCTATTTGCTCTTCAGTATGAGCTGGACTGTAGAGCCATTAGACATCTTTGTGCTTATTACAAAGGAAATAGGATCAGGCCCTAGAAGAGAAACATAAGTCTAAGTCACACAGTGCCACCGTGTCTATCCAGTTAGAGTTACAGATACTTTGTAAAGAGGAGGTTGCATAGGCTAGTGGGTAGGCAGCAGGATTGAATTTCAAGAGACCTGTATTCTATTCTTAGCTGCTGACCTTCTCAGAGAAGACATCTCACCTGTTTGTGCCTCTTTTCCTTTATAATACATACAATCTTGTCTATTTGGATTTCAGGTTTTTCCTAATAGGTCCTGTCCCTCACTGGATTTGTGTAGCATTTAGCACAAGAGGGCTCAAAAGGTAGCAGCAGTGCTTTAGGCCAGCAGGCACACATGTATTGTGAGGAAAGAAAAGAGAAGAGCAAAAAAAAAGGAAAAGTGGCAAAAAAAAAAACACAGTGAATATTCTTGTCCATATGCAATTATCTTTTCTCTGGGAAGAAAAAAAATGTGAATTTTTATAAAGAAATGCGATTAAACGCAGCCTGGTAATCACACAGCTCAGGATCACGCAGCAGGAAAACAAGAGTGAGAGAGGCCCAGGGCTGCCGTCCGAAGCACCGGGGTGCAATCCCACAGCAAACGAATGGGCAGCAAATCAGCACGGGATGACTGGAGCGCAAACCGGAGGAGGAAAAGCCCATGTGTGCTGCTCAGCAGAGGTTCGCCGAGAGCCAGGGAATGCCTGTGCCAAGCGTCCCCAGGCTGACGGGAGCGGATGGGCGCAGCGGGGCCCGCCATGACACGCACGTCACCGCGCACTGTGTGGGCCCGAACCACGGCGGCAACGCTGGGCATTCCCGGCGGGTTTTGTTTCTTCCAATCTACTCATCGCTAATGTGAGAGGACAGCTTACTTCTGCCTCACTGCATACAGGAAAAAACACATTTCATGGGGAGAAAATAAAGAATTGAGTTAAAAACAGAACCCATGAGCTCTGTTCTCTGCTCTATTACATTGGGGGCGGGGGGGGAACACAAATCCTTTGAATTTGCAGATGAAATTTAGTGGTAGTTTGGTCTTATCCAGCCCTAACTCCAACCTTAAATGTAGCAAAACTGAGTTGAGATGTAAACTATTTTAACAACATGAACCTCAAGCCCGAACTGAGAGGCTGCTACCTTCACCTGCATAAATGACATTGCAAAGTGATCATTGTATCTAACGATATATTACATTTGTGAATTATTGAAAACAGAAGTCTCTTGTGAAAGTAGTTTGAGACAACAACTCTGTAATGAAGCAAAATACTTCTATTATATTCAAATCTTATAGTACCCTCCAAACTCTGATTCTAAAAACCAAAGGACACTAATTGTGTAGGCATAGCTTCAAGCTTAAAAAGCTTTTTATGCAAGAAATTAAGTCTTCATCAAGAAAATAACTGTTGAAACCTTAATATCGTTCATTGACAACCACATTTGAAGAGCAATTTTATAGCATAATGATCCTTGTTGCATAATTTGGACAGGCTTTTGTTCTCATTTTAATTTTCCATACACAGCTGCTTTACCATCTCTCCTTCCCACGCTGATTGAAAAGGAGAAATCCAAAGTCAAGGGAGCTTACAGCAAGATTTGGATCTGGAGTTAAACTTTTAAAGATTTCAGCTGAGCTCCTAGTTCTGAGATGCTCTGACACTTTGGAACGGGCTGTTGGGTGACTAATACAAAACTTGGCCAACGGCGTTCCTCCAGAATTCCCACTTGAAGCACACGTACAAAAGAGCAACCTTAAAACCCCCCACTTAGCTTTCATCCAAAACTAGAAGGACCTAAACATCTCAGTCTTTGCATTTTACCTTCTTGAGATATCTAGATTTTTTTTCTTTCTGCCTGCCCAGACGTGTCAACTTGAAAAAAGAAGCAATTTATGTGTAAAGGCAAACATGAAAATGCCTCCTAATTTTCCTTTTACTAATAAAGCTGTCCAGTGTTTCTTTTTTTTCCATTCTCCTTTTTTTTCCATTCTTATTTTATCTTTTGGTATTCCCTTTAAAGTCACCATTTTAAATGGCACAGATGTACCTCTGGATGTATCATTTTGGTTTGTATCTTCAAGTGGTCTCAAAAATAAGTAGCCTTAGGTTTCATACACTCTTTTTTGGATGAGAACTCTGCCAAGACCTGAAGAGCTCATTTCTTTTAGGTTACTGGAAAAGAGTGGGAACTAACCTAAAAACAATGAATACTACCTTTATTAGCGGGGCAATATCAGGTACAAAAGGTCTACTTGATCTTGAGGACAGTTATACCAAAAACAAATGACTGGAAGCCAAAGCTGTTCATCTTTGACATCACATCCTAAGTGTTCTCTAAGCGAGGAATAATACCAGAAGAATCTTGATTTCATTTCCATGTCCAAAATAACACCAGTCTGAAGCTTTCAATTCCTCTTCAGAAAATTTAATTAATTCCTAAACTGTATTAACTGAGGACTTCAGAATGAATGAGTTTTCTCGGTGATGTAGCCTCAGCCATGATTATTCCATTGCATCCAAAACATCTCTCTTCAGAGCAGAAAACACACAGTCTTGGTTCAGATTTTCAAGCTAACTAGGGGATGCAGCCATATCTTTCCAACTGAAGTAGGAACTAGGCAGATAAATGTCTTGAATTATAATACACATACAATAGACATAAGACACTTCAAAATCTTATCCAAAAACCAAACAAACCCAAAAATATACCTAAAGCATTACACTTTCCTGAGAAGGGATGGGAAATAATTTTTCCAGGCAGGAAATACAGACAAAATAGTAACCTCACAGAGCCTGGTGTCTGCCTCTCTTACCACTCTGTCTCTGTGTCTCTGTCACACAGTTGTTTTTCTAAAATTGGGGTACCTGGATGAACTGAATTCTTGATACAGAGAAACTTTGAAACACCCAGATTTTGTCTTCTGCCTATCAAATTTCCAAACATTCAAGGATTTTTTTTTTGAAAGTTCAAAATATACAGATTTAGTTTCATTGCAGAATTTTCTGCATTGAAGAACAGCTTAATAACATTGTCCTTTTGAGGGTACTGTAACAGCTTTACTTTAAATTCTGTGTTTTAGGGCTGAAGACAACTTGCGAAAATAACATCTAGCTTCTACCACAGGCAAATTACCAGTTTCAGACTATTCAACCACTCAAGTATAAGAACTGAAAATGAGAAAGGACCAGAAAAGAAAAATATACTTTCTGACTAGTGCTGTTAAGGTAAAATGAAAGTGTTATAAGTGCAAAACGTCATGCTGAGTATCAAGAATAAGCCCTCAGCTTCAGCCCTGCTTGAAAACATCAAGTGCTTACAACAAAAAGCCTCTAAATTGAGCTGATTTGACCAGTGTGGCATCATCAGTAGCTAAGCTGTTCTCCTTAAATTTCACATGCTGTTCTCCCGGAAAATAGGTTGTTTAAAAGCAATCACATCTTTCTTCAGTGTAGTAAAAGGTAAGACTTTTTTTTTCCAGATTTCTCAAGCCTGATCAACACAATTTCAGTCTTTTAAAATTTTCTCTTTTATAACAGGGTTCCAGATGATGCATTAAACTTGAAACCTGCTCATAGTAGATTGATTTATTCTAAATACCATTTTGAAGGTATCAGAAGTACTGGTGGTCTTAGAAAGATCCACAGCAATTCCTATCTTGGTCTGTCTAGAGAAAATGCTTAAAATATTTCCTTCATGCAAACATCAGCCCATGTAAAGCATTGAAAGACACTTACACTTTTCCCATAAGTTGTGATTTTTTTTCAGGCAGAGGTACTTAAGAGTATGCTCTTTTTTTTTTTATGTAAATTTTGGGTAGAAAAAGAGGACAGGGAAAGGGCTCAGATCGCAGCTCCCTCTTGTGTAACTCCTCATTAGTACAGAAAACTAAATCAGATAGTGATTTCTCCAGACAAATTATAGGAAAACCATTTCATCCCTTCGATATTTCTTCTACCACTGGATTTTTGAGGAGTATTCATTTTTGCTATCATCATAACTACAGCCATATCTACAGTCATATATGCCTTCATGTAATACTGTCGTAACTATTTTAACTGATGCAAAAATAAGCTAGTTTATATAACTATCTTATGGTTTATTTGGATGTCTAAACCTTACTCAGGCCGCTTAAAAGTAAATCAGACTGTTTTGCATTTGTATTTCACTTAAAATTAAGTACAATTTAATGAAGCAGGTTTTCTACCACTTGTACTTCACTGATATTTTCATATAATACAAACGCCTGGGCCGATAGTAATACTTATTACAATATTATTAATAAAACAATAAGGCAGCATTGCAGCCACATTTAGAGGTTTGCTCAATGACACAGTTATTTTGATACACATAATGTAAATTGTGGTATTTTACTTAAAAACAGTGAAGTCTTCTCTGCCAATTATTATTGCTGCTATGTCTTTCTTAAGCATAGCTTTCTAGGATTTATTTTGATGGATCTTCCCACGTGTATCAGTCAGAGCTGTAGCTGTTCTCTACTTTTTGTGCCCATAGGTGTCCAGAGCTCCGTAAAACCGGGTGTTATGATTCTATATCTTATCTTGGTGGTATCTTGTTCCCTAGTGATTTTTTGTTTCTATCCCAATTTACCGCTCCGTTATAACCAAGAATAAATAACACTTTGTTATCGCGGGATTCAGTTTCTTCACCAAACCACTCGAGCCTGCCGTTTTAATCTAAACTTTATTTAGAAGCAGGACGAACTCGAAGCACCAGCCCAAGTCTCGGTGAGGAAGGAAGGGAGGGAAATGTCGCGTTTTCACTGACTGCCTCTCCCTCTTCCTTTGCTCCTATCCCGACTGCCGGGTCGC